GGAGGCGGCGGGCCGGGCAGCGCCGACAGTGCGGGACGCAGAGACCGAGAGGGGCGCAGCGAGCCCGGCGGCCGCGCCCAGGGACCCTCGCATCCGGGCTCCCCGGTGCCCGCCCCACCCGCACCGGTCGCTCCTCACCTCACGCTGCCTGAGCCTCTGCCTCCACTGCAGCCAGAGCCGTCGCGGCCGCCGAGGTCCGAGCCATTTTACCCTCAGCTGGCCCAACCGCCACAACAGACTGCAGGGCCAGCCAAGCGGATCGCGTCACTTCCGGCCGGGCAGCACCGCCTCCCTTGCTCAGGCGTCTTGCTGATTGGCTGACGCGGACGACCTACCTGAAGCGCTGGGCGGGGCCAGGACGCTTCCTCTGAGCCTGGAGCTAGGGTATCAGGGGCCGGGGCCCGGCTCCCCCAGCGAAGTCTAGCGGCTTCGGGCTAATTCCGAGCGGGAGAGGACGTGCCCCGGACAGCCCAGCCCGCCGATTCCGGCCCGGCGTCCGAAGCGCCTCCAGCTGGCCTGTGCGCCGGAGTAACCTATTGTTCCCTTGCCCTCTTTCGGGGCTCGGCCCTCGTTTCCATCTCCGCTTCGGCTCCCAGATTTGTAGTCTTGGGCGCAGGCCGCGCTGGAATGAGTTTGGATTGGAAAACTGAAAAGAACGGGCAAGACAAAGATCGTCCACTCCAACCCAGCATTTACCGAGCCCTCACTGACGATCAGGTGCTGTGGCCTGTGTAATTAGTAACCCATCACGTGGGTTCTGAAAAGTGCTTGGTAGTGTGTAAAGCGCTTTCACGTTAGTGTCTCATTTAATCCTCACTACAGCCAGGTAAGGAAGATAGCACCGAAATAACAACTTGGAGCCAGACGGCCTTTTCTGGGTTACAAAATATCTCCATAGCCAATCTCCATAATAATACCTTCTCCATGAGAACTAAAGAAGTTTGTGCAATGTTCACCCCTCCACCGAGCGCTTTAAAAAATTACATAACCATGTGAAGCAGATTGGAAAAATATCCCCATTTTACAGATTGTCAAGCTGGAGGAAGGTTCAAATTCAGTTTTGAGGTACTGCCTAACCCTGAACAGTGAGAGAAGAGGATCAGCGCCTTCTAGGCGTGTTAACGTGATAGACTTGATTTAGGTTACAATGGGCCCTTTCCCAACTCAGAAGGATAGTACGGAAATGTTTAAGGAGAGGGATAGCAAAAAAAAAAAAACAAAAAACTGGGAGCTTCTACTTGGAGACAGAAAGGTGGGAGCTCTAAATTGAAACCCTCAAGGAATCTGCCTGATTCCTTTTTCTTTCAGTGGGGGAGGGGGCTGCGGAGTGGGTGAAACCCTCTAATTCTTCCATTATAATCAACATGCCTGCACCTTTCTGTGGATGGAGTGAATGAAGATCATTCAATCCTAGCTCTAGTCCCAGTTGCTGAGGAGACTGAGGGAGAAGGATCCCTTGAATCCAGGAGTTCCATGCCAGCTTGGGCAACATATGGAGACCCTGTGTGAGGAAGAACGGTCATCATCAAGAAATCAAATAACAATAAATGCTGGCGAGGCTGTGGGTTTGGAGGAGGAAATCTACGTTATTGGTGGGAATGTAAACTAGTATAGAAATCAGTATGGGGGCTGCGGATTTAGCTCAGCGGCACGGGGCCTGACTGGTATGTTCGATCCCTGGCACCGGGGGAAAAAAAATCAGTATGGACATTCTTCAAAAAAACTAAAACTAGAAATTCCATTTGACCCAGCTATTCCCCTTGTAGGTATCTTCTCAAAAGAGTTAAAGATGTCGTGTTAATGATACATGCATACCCAGCACAATTCATAATAGCTAAGTTTTGGAAGTAGCTTGTATGTCCATCAACAGATGAATGTGGTACTTACACACAATAGAGCACTATTCTGCCAAAAAGAAAGATAAACGAGTCATTGGTAGGAAAATGAACGCATCTTGGGACCATGTTAAGTGAAATAAATTAGACTCAAGAGCTTAAATATCACATGATTTATACAAAAATCTAAATTACAAATAAAGAGCAAAATAAAAGATGAAAGAGGGAGGTAGATTTCAAATGGAAAGAGGGAGAGGAGCAAAAGAGATGAAAAGAGGAGTTAAAATATATGCACACGTACCAGCTCTACACAAGGAATGTAAACATTATGCACTGCATATATGTACTAATAAAAAGGGAGAAAGGAAGCAGTACTATTCTATAGTGACATCCAGAAGCAATTTACGTTCACAGCTACCAACCCTGCCTTGTAGCTTTTCACCAACCTCACCCCACACACAGACAGACATGAACTTCCAGCAAGCTTTACACACCCTAGAAGAATGTCCCTTAGGAATCACTTGAGTTCCACAGTATTGTTCTGCTTTATCTTCTGATCAGAAGAGGAATTTCCAGAATTGGCAGGTCTCTCATAACATTAAAAAGCGTGGGGGAAAGGAATTATCTCTGGGCTGGTTTCCCACCTTCTCCTGGAGAACCCAGTGTGCCTTGACGAAACAAAAGGCCTTGAAAGAACACGGAGTCTTCAGGAAAGATTAACTGACTTTTCTGTATCTCTGATTTTTTTTCTTATGAGAAATATTTCCTCCAGGTCCCAGCAGCAGGAGGCTCTGGTATTTTAGTTGCACTTCTGAGACCAGATATTATTAATGCTTTTGAATGGCCCCTGTTTGGTAGCCTCTAATCAACCAGAAGGGTCCCTAAGGGGAAAAGAAAGAGTCTGATGATTCTCCAGGTTCTAAGAAAGTATCTTTTCCAAATTGCCCAGTGTCAGGAATCTGAACTGGTAGCTCTTCTGGCAATGGTTTGTGAAGATCCATGTTAACACCAATACAAATTTCTGAAAGTGTAAACTGGTGCTGCTGTCATTTAGAACCAACTAGAATACAATTAGCAGCCACTTCTCTTTTCTCTCTCCCATTGGCTTCAGTTTTTAAGACATAAGGATAGAGAACAGGATTGAGGAGGAGGCATTGCGTTTTACATGTTCCAACCCTAACTTCCCACAGAGAACTTTACAGTACCATGAATACTCCCAAATTTCTTCCATTGCTAAATGAGAAACTGGCAACTTAAGAAAAGACTACAGTAAAAATAGTGGCTGACAGTTCTTGAGCATTTCCTAAAGCCAGGCCCTGTTCTTGGCGCTTTACAAATATTATCTCACTGAATTTCTCTAACGTCCTTAATAAAAAGATCATCATTATATATTCATATTCTAGTTGAAGAATTTAAGAAACAGAGATGACAGTAACTTGCCCCAAACCACACAATTATTAAATAGCAGATCTGGTATCCAAACCTGAGTCCGACCACAGCCCAGGCTTTTTAATCACACATTGCTCCTAATAAGCCAAGGAGATTTTAACAGCTACAAAAGGCCATTAGTGAGTGGTTCTGTCCCCCTTTTCTCTCCCAATGCCATGTCCTCACACCATAGGAGGACTTGCTGGGTACTGTACCACACAAAAAGTGTGGTTGCTCCCCTTGGAAGTCACTACCTAAGGCAGATCACACTACCATAGAGAAATAACGCTCAAGACATTAAATGTGTAAATAAGAAAAGGATGTGGTTCTTTGAAAGAATAGGAAATATTTGTCTTTAAATGATTCATGAAGGGGCTGGGGATTTAGCTCAGCGGCAAAAGCGCCTGCCTGGCAAGCGCAAGGTCATGAGTTCGGTTCCCGGTACCGGAGAAAAACAAAAAAAACACAAAAAACAAAACAAAACAAAAAAATAAATGATTCATGAAAGAGGCAGGAGAGAGAATGCCTTGAGCCCCTACTTTCTATATGTAGAGCACTGTGCTCTATGTAGAGGATGTAGTGGTAAACAGGGCAAGGTGTTTAGCCTCATAGACAGCATAGAGTCCAACAGGGAAGACAAGAATTAAACAATTACTTGAATGATCATTTCATCTCAGTTGTGATAATGTGAAGGAAAACTACAGGGCTCATAGATTTGGACTGGAAGGCACTACATAGCGAGACTGTCTCAAAAGGCAAAAACAAAACAAAACACATATTTTTCACAGAACTAGAGAAAACAATCCTAAAGTTCATATAGAACCAGAAGAGACAAAAACAATAGCAAAAACAATCCTGGGTAACAAGCATAAATCAGGAGGCATCGTAATCCCAGATCTGAAGTTATAAAGCTACAGTGATAAACACAGTGCAGTACTAGCAGAAAAACAGACACCTGGATCAATGGGACAGAATAGAGGATGCAGAAACAACCCCAGGCACATCCTGCTATCTGTATGACAAAGAAGATCTAGCTCAGTGGCACAAGTGCCTGCCTGCCTATCTCTGAAACAAAAAGCCCAAAACATAGCTGGAGGAAAGACAGATCTTTAAAAAACGGTGCTAAAAAAAATCTAGCTATCCACATGCAGAAGATAAAATGCGGATCCATATCTCTTAGCATGTACTAAACTAAAATAAAAAATAGATCATAGATCTAAAAGTTAAAATATAAACAGGTGGGCATGGTGGTATACCCTGTAACCCCAGCACTCAAGAAGCTGAGGCAGGAAGAGCACCCTGAGTTTGAGGCCACCCTGTACTACATAGTGAAAACCTGTCTCAAAAAAACAGAAAAAAAAAAAAGAAAAAAGAAGAAATGAACACAGTAAAATAACATAAACAATCCACTGGAAGATAAATAGGTAAAACTCTTAAAGACATAGACATAGGCAAGGACTTTCTGAATAAAACCTTGATTGCACATGAAGTAACATCAAGAATCAACAAATAGGATCATATCAAACTAAAAACTTCAGTACAACAAGGAAGACAACCAAAAGAGTAAAGAGACAACCTACAGAATGGGAAAAAATTTTTCCCAGGTATTCCTCTACAGAGGACTAATATCAAAAGACTATATGCTCCCCCCAATTTAAAGACCCAATCAAAAAACGGGCAACTGAAATGAATAGACTCTTCTCAGAAGAAGTACAAGTGCCCAATAAAGACATGAAAAAATGTTTACACCTCTGGCCATTAGTGCCCTGCAAATTAAAACAGCACTGAGATTCTATCTTATACCAGAGAGAATGGCTGTCATCAAGAGATCAAACAATGACCAATGCCGGCAGGCTGAAAGGAAACTTTTACATTGTTGGTGGGAATGTAAACTAGTACAACCAATAAGAAAATCAGTATGGAGATTCCTCAACTAAAATTAGAAATTCCATTTGACCCAGCTATTCCTCTTCTCAGTATCTCCCCCCAAAAGTTAAGTTATCATCATACTGCAGTGACACATGCACACCCATGTTTATAGCAGCACAATTC